AATCCAATCTCAAAACAGAAACAGAACAACTGGTTTCTACATTTTGCATCTCAGCTTCAGGCAAATGCAGGAGGGAACTCAAAAGGGCACCATTTCCATATAAAAATTGGTAATGGCCTCTCCTGTTGTTGGTGATATTCAAACTTCACCCGTACAAAGGTGAAATTTGCCTCCAAGCTACCTGCAGAGTACAGCTATACAAAGAACAGTATAGCACCATCCAGTCCTAGTGTGTGATAGAGGGTAAGCTGGAGAGACAACAGATTTAGGATGACAGAGGTCTTCCCTGGCTTCAGGGCAGGAGGAAATTGTATGGTTAAAGCAACTGAGTCCTTTCTAAGAGAATTCTTATCATTCTATTCCAAAGTTTCCAAATCCTCTTTATTTACATCAATTTTCTATTTATTCTTGATTGGGTGCCTAAAAGTGCTCTTTTAGTCTAGTTTCTCTCAATTTCTTTAATGCCCATTTTCACCTAAGATTTATCCTGACACTTCCATATACAGGTAGCCCTCAACGTACAACTGTAATTGAGTATCACAATTGCAGTCATAGGTCACGATGTTTATTACAACGTGAGTCGCCCCGGGACCAGACCCTTTTTGGAGGGCAGGTCATTAAGCAAATGCAGTGATTGTAAAGCAAGCGCTGAGATCATTAAGCAAACCCACTAGGGGCCCTTTTTTTGCTGGAAACTGGAAGTAAATGCCGTATTATATATCGTGTTAAATGCCGTGTTATATATTGTGTTATAAACTGTGGACAATGTGTGGGGTGATGCAAATGGCAATAAATGCTGAGTGCCCAAAATGCAGTCACATGACTGTGGGGAGGAGGTCATAACTTTAAAATAGGGTTGTAAGTCCCTGGGGGGGGTTTCCATCATAACTTTAAACAGTCACTAAATGACCGGTCAGAAGCCAAGGACTATCTGTAATGCTGATACAAATGTAGGTTATTTTATGCCTTTTTTCCCCATCACTAATTCTCACAGTCTTTCCTTATAGGTGGTCAAATCAATCATTCTTTTCAATTAATTTCCTTGTAATGTGTACATAGGAACTGAACTGTGCTTAAGTCAAGTATCTGAAGGAAACACCTTTTTCTAAATAAATACCATTCTAATTTATTTTTGGATCAATTATTTGTTTTGCACGCTCTCATTCTCACTTATTCATTTCTGTTGCTTTACAGAACATTTTTCCTCTATGGATTTCATTAATTCAGAACATTGTAGTTCTTCACAAAACTCCTCTCTGAATAATTTTATACTCCACCAGATTAAACCACCTTCGCTCATAACCATGACACCATTTCTCTTTTCTAAACACACCATATATCAATCTCTCGTATTTATTCCTCTGAAATTCCAAATTGTAAACTTCTATATAATAATAATATAATGATAAAGTTGGAAGGGACCTTGGGGGTCATCAAGTCCAACCCCCTGCTCAGGCAGGAAACCCTATACCATTTTGGACAAATGGCTGTCCAGTTTCTTCTTAAAAACTTCCAGTGTTGGAGCATTCACCGCTTCTGGAGGCAGGTTGTTCCACTGGTTAATTGTTCTAATTGTCAGGAAGTTTCTCCTTAGTTCTAGGTTGCTTCTCTCCTTGATTAGTTTCCACCCGTTGCTTCTTGTCCTGCCTTCAGGCACCTTGGAAAATAGCTTGACTCCCTCTTCTTTGTGGCAGCCCCTGAGATATTGGAACACTGCTATCATGTCCCCCCTCGTCCTTCTCTTCGTTAAACTAGACATACCCAATTCCAGCAACCGTTCCTTATATGTTTTAGGCTCCAGTCCCCTAATCATCTTTGTTGCTCTTCTCTGTACTCTTTCTAGATTCTCAACATCTTTTTTACATCCTGGTGACCAAAACTGGATGCAGTATTCCAAGTGTGGCCTTACCAAGGCATTGTAAAGTGGTATTAATACTTCACGTGGTCTTGATTCTATCCCTCTGTTAATGCAGCCTAGCACTGTGTTGGCTTTTTTGGCAGCTGCAGCACACTGCTGGCTCATGCCATGATTATGACCAGAAGGGAGCATTAATATAGTTCCCCACTATCTAGCATGGCTTTAATCAGTTGAGGTTTTCATATATTGCTGGAATTGAACTTTACATGCACCGGCTCTCTGCATCTATAAACTTGCTGATCACAAGAACTGACTAGCAATGCACTTTTATATCCTTTCCTTGTCTAACAGACTTTCTTTGTATATCTCTATGTAACTTGGTGACTTGGTTAGAACGGCTTTCACCATTCTTTCTCACTTCTGTCCTTTTTCTTCTTCTGTCTCTGATCTATGTAGGCCAAATACTTTCCTGATTTGTTTGCTCTCCATATCAGAGAATCCAAGCTCTTAGCTGTAAACAGACCTGAGTAATCCAGACTTTCCAATCACCATGGTAACAGTATTTCCTAAATAAAACCTATGGGGGTTTTTTTTCACGCAAGCATCAGTCTCAAGCTTTTGTAAAACTATTCTTTTAACTTTTTCTCTCCATGCATTCCTTTTGCTGTAATGTCTCTGCTGTCCAAACATAAAGATATATAGACATTGTCTTCTGTTTGAGGCAATGTTACAAAATTCCATTTTGGCACATAAAGGGCAAATTTGTTTACTTGTTTAATTAATCAGGCAGTCTTGTTCATTAATGAATTGTGTTTCTTTCTCCAGTTTGCAATTTAAATTAGTTCCCAAGGAATCTTGTAAACAACTAAAACAAACACTAACTTCTGTGAAACAAGCACAATTTTCAGTCATGCAAGAGACTGCACAGCATTAAAACTAAAACATAAATAAAGGAAAAGATAACAAATGGGCTTCTGCTGACTACATGCATATTACACTCTTTGTCTAGTGACTACACAGACACTACACTTGGGCACCATGTAATTTCCTTACGCAACAATAAATGTTTGTCACTTGCTTTCCAGGATGGCATTACAGGTAGTCCTCAATTAATGACCACAATCAAGTCCAAACTTTATGTTGTTAAGGAAGACATTTGTTAAGTTGTTGTTATAGAAATAGCTAGTATATATTGTTATGTAAAAGCAAAAATTGAGACTTTAATGCTATCATCTCCTACTTGTGCTAAAAAAGTTGGAAGTCAATGCTTTTCTTTTCTCCTTTTACCTACTTATACTCTTTTTCCTTTTTCCCCCCTCTAGTTTCCCATTATTTTCATTTTCCCTATTTTATATTCTGATAAACTAATTAAACAATTGAATAAAAAAAACTTTACTATACACCAACTCATTAAGGGTCTTAGGTTGCCCTTATGTGCCCAACGCAATAAATGATTAGTTTTGTCAAAGTTATGGAATAAATTTCAATTGGCTAAATTTACATACTAATTTATAAACCATAGTTTGCTAGGGCTCAGTATTTAAAAAGTTGCAATCTTGTTCACAGATGTTTTAGAAACCAATTTCAAAATGGAAATACCTGAGAACAATTTCTGCACTTCAATATCTACCTCCATAGTACAAATTCTTACTGTAACTTTTATGTGTATTAAAAATATTCAATGGATTTACTGAAAGTTTCCTAGAGAATCAGTAATGAGAATGTACTCTGCTTCTGTCCTCTTAACCACTGCCATCACTTCCTGTAATTACCACTAATATGCTAAAACTTAATTTTAATTAATTAATCTAAGAGATGACTTGATTTGATTGTCATAGATCAAATACTCTTCTTTCCATAAAAATCAGGTTGGTCCTTAGAAAATCATTCTTCATCAGAACATACTGTAATCAATCAGCAGTGTCTATAACAAACTAAGATTTCATCAAAATGATTGAACATGCATTATGTTAGAATGAAAGCTTTGTATTTTGCATACTTCACAGTTCACATACTTACATACTTTACATACATACCTTACATACTTCACTTGCATATTGTGATGCAGGTATAAAAGGTCACATTTTACCTTGTAACATTAGGAGGCACTTTTAAGCATTTGACTCCATTTCCGTCACATGGATATCCATGTCTTCAACAGAACTTTTCCAGCAGATCAATTTTTTTTAAAAAAAAGGAATTAAATATTTGCAGTAATTCCATTTCCTTTGTATCTTCATTATCCATTTATCTCCATAGTCACATATCCATAACATTATTTTGATGACTGGAATCAATACACTTCTCTTTTAAAAAAGAACTCATGCTCATCCTAGAACATAATTTACATGTGCAGATCAGAGACAAGAACTGGTAATTCTCACAAACCACTTTCAACCAAGCATTAAGGCAATCAGTGTTATTGGAATACACAAAGATGCTCAGAATTTAAAGCTACAGTAAAACTTTATTGATTTAATGTGTGGCATGCAATCATTGTCACATTCATTCTTTCTTGTTCACATTCCACTTACCCAAATGCCATCCAACTAGGCTGGCCAGGCACTAACCAGAGGAATAGGAGCCACCAAATCCATACTCAACTACTCAAAGAACTGGGGTGCTCCTTTTTATCCCTATATCCTTGATTTATTGATTTGTAAATTTGGCAACTGTCAATGGCATTAAGGTTTCCTTGGACTTTGTACCCAGCTTTCCTTTGTTGTCTTTTGATGGATTTTTTTCATGTTTTTTTGTGTCTTAACAACTTATCTCCTTTTTATCTATTTCTGAAGGCATCTTTTGACATTTAATAATGTTTGTCCTCTCTGTGTTAAGTTAATTTTTAACTTATAGCAGCAACTGTCAGTGTTGGCCTAGTTTACACATTTGAAGCTCCCTCCTCCATGGCTTTTACAAATTTAAAGATCATTTTATTTCACAGGATCTTCAGTTTTACATAGGTTCATTGGCATCCATTTTGAAGGAAGATTGATTGAAATAACTAATTTAATAGTACCTGGATTATGTTATAATTTATTGTTATTGTTGCTAGTTTAATATATTGTAGCCCCACCCAGTTTTTGACTGAGTAGATTATAAGAACTATAAACTAAATAAATAACTTACACCATGCATGTATGAGACAGATTGTCTTTGTTTTCCCAAAGCTATAAGCCTACACTGGGAAGTAAACAAAAAGTATCTTCCAGAAGACAGCAGCAAATCATTTCTGTCCTGTGACAAGAAAACAGCATGAATTTGTCCATGTAATCAACAAGAATCAAACTGGATTCAACACAACAAAAACAATGCAAAATATTGTTTTATTTATAAATAAATTATTGTTTTTATATTTTAAAAAATATCTATTATCCACATGCTATTAAATCTCTCGTGTCTTAATCTTAACTGGGTGAAATGGTGCATCCTAGCGCAGAATTTTTTCAACCGAACTACATCAAATGGGCTAACATTTAGAGTACATCCAAAATCTGGGACCCATGTCTCCTGCGGAACTGAGATTTGGCAAATTTTATAAAACATTTTATGAAACAAAAGTTATCATAAAGCATTTTATGACATAATACCAAATGCCATAAAATGTTTCCTGTGGTCAACTCCTGATGTTCGACTTGCTATACAGTTCAACACAGACTACTTTCAAGGCAAATCCATCTTTGAATATGTCACTGAATTTTTAGAAATTGTTCAGGTACATTAGAAGCTCTGCCATTATTGAAAGCACTGAGGACTCTGGTAAAAAAATAACCTCTAAGGTGATAACCCAACAGGCAATAGTCGTCTAGTTTTAAAGTTAAATTCTCTAATATACCATAACACAATCTGATGAGATAAATTTATGACAACCTTGTAAATTTAAAAAAAAATACAAAACCAACAAATATAAACCTCTAGGAAACTTAACACCCCTTTTTTATGTAAACACCACAGATCTTCCAGGAAAAAATTGGCTCTGTCAATTATGTTGACATTATTGTATTATTCCAATACCTGCTATGTTTCTTGGAAGCAGGAAACAAAAAATAAACCAAAAAGGTGATCCCTGAGAGGAAGGTCAGGCACCCAATTATTCTCCCCCAGAAGAATAACTATCATTACAATAGTTACCAAAATTGAGCAACATTACATTACATGGCATTCGTGTAAACAAGGGACACATGTCTTGTACATTTCTGAGACTTAAAACACCCATTTTTCCATTAATCCTATCCTAATGGCAAAACATGGAATGAAAAATTACCCTTTTGACACTAATAACATGCTCATATCATCATTCACAACCTCTCCATCCCAAAGGTTTCTTAGCCACAAGGAAGTAGCTTGGCTGCTTCTTCCTATGAACAGGGTGGCAGTTTAGACTGAGTTCAGCATCACAACCAGGTCTTTGCTGCTAACCAGTTCTTGTTTAATTCTCCGGAGTAGATTAGCCTCTAGTCTGAGTAGTACTGAGAAGTGTGGTTAATTCTAATCTGCCAAAAGAGAAAATAATTAGAATTATACATCATAATAAACTGTAAGTGCTTTGCTTGGTTTCAGCTAAGCATGAATTGCGAACATCAGCTTATGACTTATTCGGTTAATCAAGGTTAAAACAAATAATGGCTTCAGAAGAAGTTTGAGCCCTGCCTTTCTTTCTTATTTTATAGGATGGGTAAAAAGAGACCAAACATTACAACTAGACAACAGCCTTGTCTCATTTTCCTCTCAGTACAGGCATACAGAAGTAAGGGAGAATGGATCCCTTAGTATCTTCTTTCTCTTCTCTAAGGTCAGGTGCAGGTGAACAAGAGAAGGCAGGAGCTTTCCTACTCCTCCCTTTTTTCAGTCTCTGAATTAGAGATCCACCTAAAACCACAAACAAATCACTGATCACATTTGTGGCCGTAGATAAAACTGTAAACCTGATTGGGGAGGATACCATTACAATCTGAGGATCAGATTCTATGTGGATCCTCATTAATTTACACAGATCCCATCTTATTATATGAAAGATTGAAAGCATGTTATTTTTGAAACAAATTGTGGGCATAATAATCTATACAGGGTCACAGCAAATGCTAAATCCTGATAGTTTGGGTTATTTAGATTAGAATGTAATGTGAACTTATCCAATTATGGCTTACTCACTATCTATGCATTAGTCTGTTACTCCTCCCTCCCCATGGTATTGGAGTCTTTGCTAGAGAATCCTAATGAATCTAAGTCTTGAATCAATGCTATTATCGTATTCTGTGGCATTGTAGGGACAACTGATGGCCCTGTTCAAATTCCTAAATTTAATTATGATATTCAGGATACAGGTAGTCCTCGACTTACAATCACAATTTAGCCCAACATTTCTGTTGCTAAGTGAGACATTTGTTAAGTGGGTTTTGCCCCATTTTACAACCTTTCTTGCCACCGGTACCGTTGCAGTTTTAAGTTGGTAACACAGCTGCGAATCTGGCTTCCCCATGGACTTTGCTTACCAGAAGGTTGTAAAAGTTGTTCAGATGACCCCTGAACACTGCAATGATCATAAATAAGAGTCAGTTGCCAAGTTTGAATTTTGATCATGTGATCATGGGGACACTGCAACGGTTGTTAAATGCAAAAAAGAGCCATAAGTACCTTTTTTTTTCAGTGCCACTGTAACTTCAAACAGGCATTAAACCAATTGTTGTAAGTCGAGGACTACCTATGCTATCAAAAAGAGCCAGATTTGTGGTGTTACTGTTCAGTCATCCTATTCATGCAAAAGTAAGGTAATCTTAAAAAAAAAAAAAACTTAAGACATTCCTCTGCCTCCCCCCCCCCCAATCTCTTATTTAACGTCTGCCGTTACGGAGCTCAATCCTATACTCTTCATTTAAATCGAGGTTTGTCTATTTCCTTATTCACCCAGCAGTTAATGTTCATCCAGACCATACTTTCTTGTGAGTAACGGAGAAGTTGCCGCGCGCGGGTCTGGAGTTAACTTACTCGCTCTCTCTCTCCGCTTCTAACTTTTCCGTCGCCCAGGCGAGGTCCGGGGGCTTTCCGCTTTCCACGTCCATCCCGCGGCTGCAACTCCGAAGCAGAAGCAGCAGGAGCCGCGGCGTTTCCAGCGGCAGCGGGACGTGTTGCATTTCGTCCGAGGAAGGGAAGGGAAGGGAAGGGCTGGGTCCTCCGGGTTCAAACTTCAAACAGGTTCCTGCTCCTGCTCTTTTGGCGGCAGCCCGTCAGGGCAGGGTTTGGTGTGTAACGCTTTTCCCAACGTGCTGGAACTCGTTTCCACGCCCGTCCCTGCCCACAATGCTCCCGAGAGAGGGAAGGGCGGGAAATACCTGGGAGGAAGACGGAACAGTGTCCCGACTTGAAGCTCTCAGCACTTTTTTTTTCCAACAGACCCGGGTGGTTTTAGCAGCCGAGCGGCGGGAAGAGCTCGGGGGATCCTCGCGTTAAGTAAGTTGGGGTGGGGGGGTGGGGAGAGATGCGGTGCGTCCCGTCGGCTTTCCATCGCACTTCGGGGTGGCTGGGGAGGGGGGGAGGCTTTCGAGAGGCAGACCGGCCGGCCGGCTGGCCGGCCGAAATTCCCGCTTTGCACTAGCCCCAGCCGACACCCTGCTGTGATGTTGTTATTGTGGGTGGCTTCGTTTCTACGCTCTGTGTCGCGGAGAAGGGCTGGAGGGAGGCTTCTTCCGCCGCCCTCCCTCCCTCTCTCTCTCCCTCCCTCCCTCTCTTTCTAAGGGCGGAAAGGTGGACGACTCCGATTGTCAGGCTTGGGTTGCCAAGCCAGGGTTGTGGGGAGGGGGGGAAAGAATGCGTGTAGCTGGAGTTTGGGGTTAAAAAAGGAGAAAGGTGTGCGGAGGGGGGGGAAATAAGGGGGGGTTGTCCTAGTTTGGAATGAAGAAGAGGCAAAGAATGAATCGTGTGATGAGGGTTTATTTGAGGCTGTCCTGAGAGAAACGGCTTTGCTGGCGGGAAACGCGGGATGGTATCCTTTCAAAGTCACCTCATAATGTGGCAAATTAGGCGAGAGGGGAAGGGGAAATGGCTCCGCAGGTTCGAATTGCCGGTAGGTTAAACAAAAGGAAAAGAGGAAGACGACGCGGGGCCCTTAAGAGGCCAAATAAACCGGCCAAAACTTTTGCGTGACTGGAAGGTTCCCTCAGCGAAGGCAACCGCGAGTGTTAACTTTAGACAGAATCTGGCCGCCTCTTTCTCCGCCTCCCACGGACGGTTGAGGGGGAAAAAAGCAGATAAAAGCTATGAGGATAGTCGCTTCCACGGATTTCTATTACTTTTCCTGAGGAGATTTTCGGACCGCTTTGTGATATTTGAATTAAAAAATAAAAAAAATAACTGGCTGTGTTTCGAATTCTTCTTCTTCTTGTGCCATATCCGAAGATGAAACTTGAAGGAATGAAGGCCGTTTCGGGTTGAAATTCTGTGCCAGGTTTATTTGCCTTCTAAGACAGCAGTTGGTTTTGCTTCCAATTTCATATTGGGGCGGGTTTTTAAAACTCTTTTTCTCTCCTTGCGGCTCTTTTGCCCTACTAGACTTCTCTCCTCCCCCCCCCACCCAAGTGTGACTAAGGAAAATTCATACCATCTAATGAAAAGATAAGGGAGATACCTAAATGAGATGGTATCGCGCAGGGGTAGGCAACCTTGGCTCTTTTATGACTCGTGGACTTCAACTCCCAGAATTCCTGAGCCAGCTGTGCTGGCTCAGGAATTCTGGGAGTTGAAGTCCACGAGTCATAAAAGAGCCAAGGTTGCCTACCCCTGGTATAGCGCTTTTCAACTAGGCTTCCTTTTTGCTTTCAAAATTAGACTCATCACGTGATAGCACAGTAAAGTTTTGAGCCCCGCATCTCCCACTGAGCTTAATGTATGAAAGGAAGGATTTTATTTATTAAATTTATATGCTGCCCATCTCTATCAAGCAATTCTGGGCGGCTTACAGTACCATAAATAATAGAATAAAACAATTACAGGATTTAAACATTAAAACCTCAGATATTAAAGTTAAAACATGAAAATTAATATGAAATGGAATAGGAATCTAAGCACTGAATATACTCCCAATACAGCACTATTTCCAAAATACTTGTCATTTAAAATCATGATTTTAAAATCATTTCATGATGGGATGAGGTATTTCAATTTATGATCAACATTATTTTACTTTTTGGGTGTACTAGGAAAGATTGCAAATTAGTTAAATTGATGACTTCTGGTGGTGAGTATAGAACCCTGACAAATTGGGCTGTACAAGATGATAATTACATTTTCTATCTTTTATACATTTTGGCCACCTTGAATGAACACTTCTAGAAACTGCTCCATTTTATTCTTGTGTCTTTTGTAACTGTTTTATTTATATATCTTTAAATGACATAACCTAGATATTTATATTATGAGAAGCTGAAACATTTCTTAAAGATTATGAAAGAAATAAACGGATCAAGGTACTTTTTTCTCTCAAGCAGCATATTTACTACTTAGGGAAGAAAACTCAGGATCAAAAAAAAAGACGTCTTAGAAAACTCAGGATCAAAAAAAAAAGACGTCTTCCTCCATTGAGGCCTTCACAGTTTAGAATATTGTATATCAATGAGGAAACTAGACAAGAACTTTTTACTGTATCTCAAATATCCTCTCTTGGAGCCAAGTAATAATAATATTCTTATTAAAATTCTATTTTATTCATCTGTAAGAGTTGTATGTGGCAGTAATCATCTAAACACATATGTGTACTGTATATAGCAGAAAAGTTACAGGAAACTAGACGAGATCTGTTATTGGACTGCAATTCAGGCTGTTTACAATTTGCTTATTTTAGCAAAAGTTTGAGACAGAAATTTTAATATGTTTTATTGAAAGCAGTGCTTTTCTTGGGGTTCATTGGAAAAATACCAAAAGATAAAGTACACCCTAGCAAAAGATTAATATATTTCTATTCCATAGCTAAAATTATGAGAAATTAGAGAATTTTTCTTTCTTTCTGTTGTAACTATTTAATGTAACGGATACAAGGGCCTATATAGCTTTATGCATTTGTGTGTCTGTGTGTATGTGGAACTGCTTTGCCAAACTCCCAGCTTCACACCCATTGATTGAAGTAGTTTATTCATGAAGGGTGGGGGTGATGAAAATAAATGACAGGATTAATTATTGCACATTGCAAAGCAAGATACAGTAATCACCAGCCAAGGCCATACATAGTAGATCTTTATAGAATAGAAATCTTTAATTGTAATGAATCATGAAAGGGAAAGGGATTTCTGGGGAACAGTGTTTCAACAGGCTGTTTAATATTTGCATTCATGTCATCCACAAACAGTGATTGAAGTATAGGTAACGGTTCAATGTAAAGAACCGTTCAATGTAAAGGATGAGAAATTGTATTTTAAATTGCCTAAAACTGCCCAAAAAAAGTTTTTGTCACAGGTGGGATATAAAGTTTTTAATTAGCCATTATTCTAACAAAGTTCAGTTTGGGTAATGTGAAAGATATGGATTATTTTATTGTTCAAGTTTAGATGGATTTATTTTATTGCCTAGTGTACATCTTTGTAATTACATTACAAATCTTTTTTCAGTTGCCAAGTTTTGGTCATTTACAATGTAGTCTTACAGATTTCGTCTCAGAAGGTTTGAGATCAGTTTTAAATCATCCTGTCTAGCAGCTGTTGTTTGTAGACCAAGCCAAATATTTTGTGCATTTTATTAATTATTAAATTTGTATGCTGCACATCTCACTATCAAGTGATTTTATGTCCTTGGTGAGCTAGTATTATATAAATATATATAAAGTTATGGGGAATTATAGTATTTCTTACTGTAAATTAGTGATTCTATCACTGATAAATATTATTGCTGACTTCACACATAAATTCTAAAATAGGTTACTTTTAAAACACTTTTAATTTAACAAACCATAGTAGCTTGATTACCCTATGTTAAGGCAGAATAGGTTGGTTCAAAATTGAGGCTAAACTAAATTAATTTATACAGTGTCTTAGTGTTGTATTAGAAAAAAGACCCTTAACTGGATTCGGTAGCAGCTGGAACTCTCAGTGATCTTCATGGAGAGCCCAACATGCAACATGTTACACTAATAATATATTGATATTCTGAGATATAACAGTATAGAGGTTTTCTTTTCAAGTAATTCTCAAAAACTACACTCCAAAGTATTGTTACATGAAAGCAATGTGATGTGCACTATCACACACTTTTTAAAATTCAATTTCAGTTTATTCACTTGTAATAATATTTGAATGATAAGCAGAAAATCTTAAAATCATAATATGAGAGCCATTACAGATTATCTTTAAGTAACTTTTCTATATATGAATTAAGGTTTAGGTTAAAGGAAATCTTGAAAGCCCTTGTTGAGATTCATTGGAATCTCTTTTACCAAATCTACCACTTACTCCTGTATGTAAACAGGTAGTCCTTGCTTAAGGACCAGTTGCTTAGCGACTGTTTGAAGTTACAATAGACACCCCTGAAAGGTACTTACGACCTGGATCCAGAGTTCTGATGGCAGTACACACACCCCTGTGGTTGTATTACTGCATTTCTACAGCCATTTGCAGCATTCTGCATATGATGCAATTTACAACTTTTTTTGCCAGAAACAGGCCTTTCCAGCAGTTTCCAACAAAAAATGCCCATAGAAATACACTGACTCTCTTAATGACCACCACATTTGTTTAACAACGATCGCAAAAAAAGTTGGTAAAATTGGGTCAGTCGTATGAGTGCCACATCTTTTGACTGGCATGAATTACAATGGAAATTCCATGCTCCATTACAGTCATTAGTTGAGGACTACCTGTACTTAAAGGTCTTGAAGTGACTAATAACTAATTCTAGTGATTAGTCTAATTGGATTTTAATTGCCTTGAATCATAATGACAGTGATATCTGTTACCTGCCTTAAGCATGCTAAAGATATAAATTTAAAATAATAAAGTATATATTATCATCGTGCTTAAATGCCACAGTTATAAAAACAACACCTAGTAGTAATTAGGTCTGTTCATTAGTTTAGGTTCAATTCCAAAAAGGTAATCGAGAGTAT